ATATGAATTAGGAATAAATGAATTTAAATTAGTATCATTATGTGTATTGAAGAAAATACTATCAGAGATAATATGAGAAGTTGAATATCTAGAATGTGATTTAATAGGAAGATTATTGTATAAATAATAATATGAACTTAGAAGAAATGTGTAATTAGGTAGGAGTTTATATTTTAAATTTTTATAAATATGTGTTTCTGTAAGTGTATTATTAATGAAGATTTTGAAAAGTTTGTTAAAAGAGTTATTTTTTAGATATTGGATAAAAGATAATAGTGTTTGTTTAGATGGTAGAGTTGGAAGATTATGATTAATAAGAAAGATATTATAGCAGGGAAGATCCTTAAAATTAGATGAAGAGTTGGAATCCAAGAAATAAGAAGATGTTTCTGCAAGATTGTTCACTGTTTTAAGCTTAGCTCGCACAGCTGCAAAAGATACTGTAATCTTCCCAGTATGTTAGGCCTGACTGTCATTAACCCACTCTTCCACATAAATAAGCTTTACTGCCTGCCTACTTACATCATTTTCCTCTAAAAATGGTCTACTATTTGTAGAGTACATCATAATTTCAGAAGTGACAGCTGCTTTAATATTACTTGCAGAAAGGTTTATTGAAAAGAAGGTTGAGAGATAATAGGTTTAAAGAGATCAAGATTATTAATTTTTTTTGGAGTAATTCAATAAAGATAGAAGCATGATCTTACCATTGATATTAAAAAAAAAAAAAAATTTGGTTCAAACTAAAAACAACTAATAAATTTATTAATTAATTACTAATTAACTAATCAAATATATTAGATTTAATTTTTATATTAAATTATAATAATGTTTACACTAAAATCAATGTAAAAAATTTTAGAAAACAACAGATTAGTTAAATATAACAGTTTGTAAAAAAAAAAACAAATTCTCAAAAAATAAAAAAGCATAATTATAAAATGCATTAATAAATTATAAGTTATATCTTAATTATCTTTTTGGCAAGTTTTTTTTTCTGTTTTATCATGTAGTTTAAAACCTTTTTTTGAAAAATTATTACCAAAATTGCTGCCAAAACGATTACCAATGTAGTTCCATGTTTTATATAACTTTGGATTCCCTGTTGCATTTTCAACTGCTATACAAAGTTCTTTCCAGGGAGCATTATAAACATTCAAACTGGCTAAAAAAAGATAGTCATGACCTGTTTATTTCATATTAATAAGATTAATATCAAGGTCATATATTAACTAATATCTTTTTAGATATATAAATTTTATGATATTTACGAGCTCTTCCAACAACCGGTAATGAATATCTTGCTGCTTCACGAATACGTCGTTTGATTCGATTTCTTACTGTAGCAAGTTTACTAACTATCTTTTTAGACACCACAGTTTGAAGTCGATAAGTTGTGATAGGTTCCTTTGTTTTTTTCGCTTGTACAGGATTTTAAAAATTTGATTAATATTAAGGTTAATATTTGAGAATCTTAAGTGATTTATTTAAAGTAATTACTAAAGTAATTACTATAGTAAAAGTCTTTTTCACGCCACGGACGCACAACCAATGTAAAGAGGTCATTCTTGATTCGCGGAAAGGATCGGTTTGTCATAATACTTTTAAGAGTATCATCATCTATAGAGTGGGTCTGAATCGACATTAAGAATATGTGCGTTTTTTTGTTTCATAAAAGACAACATATAGCATACTTACATCTTTTAATAACAAATATGGTACTGGCTTTTGCGGTTTGTTGACTTTTTTTTTAACTAAGTTTGAAAATTTATTGTAGTCTATGTACTGATAAAATAAATATCACCAAACTAAAACGGCCTGCCCATCTATACTACATAAGATCCCAAAAAACTGGAATTCTTATAAAAATTTCTAGATTTTTATTTGCCAACATCGATTTATTACCTTTTAATTCTGTTGGTTTGTTATCTTTAGTATCATCATTAACGTTTGAGTATACGAGCCATCGTTTATTATTTTGGTTAAAGATTAAAGTTGCAATGGCAGTAACGCGTTGCTTTGTCAAAGAATTAAACATGATATTATGCACGAACTCAAATTTTAACGTTAAATGCGAATCATGAATGTAACTAATTCTAATCACTACGATTTATTACGTAGAATTAGGAACACATACAGGGGTCACAAAAATTCGTATCGGAATACCTCGGAATTCTATTCCGAAAAGGTCCGGATCCATGATTTTTGGGATCCGAGTTACCCGGTCTGATTCATATGGTAAGGTTTTTGGATCTTAAAATTATAAAATCACCAGTCTAAAAAATTTCACTGACCAATCAAATTTCAGTGTAACGTGACAAAAGGTCAAGAAACAATCTAAGAAACTGCCTTCTGCATATTAACAAAAAGGTTTCGTTGCAAAATTTTGGTATAATTATAGTTCTCTAAATATAACCTATTTGCAATACCCTAACCCTAACCTAATAACGAAATTTTTTTTTAGCAAAATTTTTTTTTCTTGGTTTTGCAATAAGATCACACACATAATGTGAACTCGGAACATAATCGGCAGGGCCGGAATTAACTAATTTTGCCCAAGATCACTGAAAGTTTTATTAATAAAGTTTGTCAATGGACAGCTTTGAACATGAGTTTAGACATTTTTACCAAAAATATAAATTAAAATTACGCAAAATTTTATTAAGATAATCTAATACTTTTCTAAATAAAAAATATTCAGAACCTAAAAAAATATATAATCATCTATTTTTTAAATAAATATATTAATTATTAGAGCTTGAACATACTTTGGATATTCTTAAACATTATCAAAACAGTCACTGAATGAAGTCATGGCCCACTCATTAAGTAAAGCTGCACAGCTGATAATTTTAACAGGAGGAAAACAATTGATTTTACACATGGTGTGAAACACATAAAAAAAATTATTTTACAATACTTGAACAATCTTGATCAGTCTGCTAGTAGATTATAATCCAACACCATTTTTATTATAATAAAGTATTGTAAAATAAATTTTTTATGTGTTTCACACCGTGTGTAAAATCAATTGTGTAACTTCAACGTTTCCTCCTGTTGATAATTTTGGCCCAAAAATGGTTGACGTTATAATAGTAGTTAAATCACCAGTCAAAAAAAATTTCGCTGGCCAATCAGATTTCAAGATCTCGTGTACCGCAAAAAATTGCGTGAAATTTTACTATAACTATAACCTTCTAAACAAACAATAACCTACTGATGGGACCCTAACCCTAAACTAAATTGCGAAACAATTTTTTCAATAAGATCACAGTCGGCGAAATTTTTTAGACTGGTGATACTAGATCCTTAGACGTGTAACTCATACAGGGGGATCTCCAAAATTCCGGGTCGAAACCATCGGATTTAGCCCGGCACTTAGTTAGCATTTAGTAATACAAGTTAACCAAAATTATCAGCTGGGCAGCTTTACTTAATGAGTGAGCTATCGCTATGGTTTCATTAGTAAAACTTTTAGTGATCTTGGGCAAAATTAGTTAATTCCGGCCCTGCCGATCATGATTCCGAAGCATTCCGACACGGAATTTTGGGGATCCCCCTGTATGAGCTTTAGACGTGTATTGCTAAATGCACTGTTTCTAATATTGGAGGCTAAAAATGTCAGGTGATTTAGATAATGATCGAATCACTTTCGAAACTACCGTTTATCTTTATTTTTTTCTTACACTTAATTTTAATAATTCTAAGATGCCAATCTGTGTAGAATGTGGAGTACCTGTAGCAAATTTATATACAGAGTATAGTACAGGAATTATAAGACTTACTCATTGTGTGAGTTTTCTTATTAAAAAAAGTTTTTTTTTGCGAATTCTAAAGTCAATACTTTACGCATATCGCGTACTTTTAATATAATTGTTTCATTTTGTTTTATACATTTTTTTTACCTTTTTTCCGTGAATCTCTTGCGTAAATTACTTGCTAATCTTTAGGAAAAGTGCAATAAATTTGCAGACAAATATGTGGAGCACGATTTTGTAATAATTTTTATCGATATGTTATTACATAAACCACAAGTATATCGACATTTGTTGTTCAATAGATTAGAATACAGGGATCATGGAATTGACGTAAGTTTGGATTGATAATTTTTATTATGAATTGAGAGATAACTTTTTTTTCATCATAAGCCAAATGTGCTCAAACTTGGAATATTACTAATACTTTTTGATGTGTGTATCCTTTTATCCACAATTAACAGTCAAAAAAAAAAACTTTTTTTTTAAACCTAGAATTCAAAAAGACATCGATTTATATATTAAACTTTAACTTCTTACGATTTCCTACAAATTAAAAAAAAAAGACATCAAATGGTTTCGATTAGAAAAATATTATACAGTTTCGAACATTCCGTTTATTGAACAACCATTATTTCTTCAGTATCTGTATATCCTGTTTTTATGCGTGATAGGTATTCGAAAAAGAAAAACAAAATCATAAAAGTTGTATAGGTCAGTTTCCTAATTCAGTTCCTTTGATTTGTCTAGAATTTGTCGTTTTGCAATTTGGTATAAGATTGGCAGTATTTCTTTACATCAGTGATAAATATGCTATAGTCAAGTAAGTTTAAATGTTTTTTAAAAAAATTTCATCCAGCTAGATCAAACCGAATTAAAGTCTTCTTTAACAAGGTACAATTATATCACGATGGCTCTAATAATATCCAGTTTTGGGAAAATATTAATAATCTCAATGGTAATTTGGGATTATAATCAATTGGAGTTCTCATGGCTGATCAATGTTGTAGTTTTGACGTCAAACATTGAGGCGCTTGCAGGTATTTCAAGAGAGCACTCCTTACCTTACCAATCTCATTATCGTCTGATTATTGTTTTTTGAAATTAGTGTTCCTGGACATAGATTACTTCAAATCATTTGGAATCATGGTATTCGGATTAGTTATGAAAGTATTGGCACAAATGTTTTTCATAGAGGTGACAAATAGCCCTTTGTTAATGACTCTTCTGAGTATTTAGCATTATGAACGTAAATTGTAGTAGTGTTAAAGTTGACTCTTGTAATACAGCTATCAAAGCTTAATTCTGAAAGAATACCGTCGTAAACAGGAAAATGAGACCGTTTCACAAAAACTATTACGTATAAAATTTTATAATTCACGATAATAGTGAAATTCAATCTTTTTTTTTAAGCACTACTAATCAGAATTCATTGCCCGGAGTGACAGCGGAAAAATTATATCGTAAACATAGGTTGGTAAACTATTATTAATTGCAATACTGATGGAAAAAATTGTCAATTTTTCAAGGGAATTGACGGTTCTACACCACTATAAATGACTTTTTTTATTTTAAGCGAAGATCTCATATCTCGATATCTACCAAATCAAATTCAATGAATTTTTATTTATTTAAATTCTACAGATTAGTAGAATTCAAATTAAAACAAAAGTTCATTAAATTTGACCTGGTAACTATCGAGATAACTTCATTCAAAATTTTAAAAAAGATTATGTTTATCAGACTATAGTTACCTCTATATAAAGGACTGATTGTAGAGTATGCGTCAAAAATTTTCTCAAGCTTTGAAGATATCTTGACAACCACGGCAAAATTCAATGAGTTTTTTCATTTAATTTTATGGTTCTGTAGAATTCAAATAAAAAAAAATTCATCAAATTTAACCTGGTTGTTGTCGAGTTATCTTTGCTTAAGCTTTAAAAACAAACTCACAACGCTATGTATCAAAATAAAAACTGCATTAAAATGTTTATCAACTTCGAGAAAAGTATCTCGACAACCGGCAGCCCGAATTCATTTTTTATTTGAATTCTACGGACCTGTATAATCAAAATAACATTTTAACTTACAAGAGGGATATGAACATCAAATTTTGGGGTATAAATATCAATTTCCTTTTTCAAAAACGAGCATATTATAATGAAGAATCTTAAAGTGTTGAAGTTGTATCATTTCGGTAATTACTTTTACAAACTGATTGCTTATCGCTATCATTTTCATTATACACCATATAGGGTCTTTGCAGTAGAAAAGGTCCAAATGCTATATATATTATATATTATATATAGCATTTAGGCCCTTTCTACTGCAAAGCCTTTATATAATATCACGATATACCTAGCATTACATAACTTGGCCTTGACAGTTCCACTTCAAAACCATAGCAAAACAAATTGATCCTATTCTAGGCTAGTAATGCATAAATACTAAATCAAAATTTGCATCTACGTAAAAAAATTTTTTGTATAAGTATTTTTTCTTTGGTATAGTTTAATCCATAGTTGATACGTATTACTGTATTTTTTATAACATTATTATTATTTTATGAAAGTGTTGTTGACATATCTTTTTTAAAATAAATGTTGTAAATGCTTGATTAAATACTGTGAATGTTTAATTTTTTTTAAATATCTTAAATATAAGTGTTGTCAAATTTTTGTTTTATTGATAAAAATTATATTCTATTCTAGTTTTTATCATTTTGCTCTATTGTTCTATTTATTATTTTTTTTTTAATGTTAAGATAAGTACTTGCAACCTAGAATTTTATTGATAGTATGTTTTGGCTAATAGTTGTTGGTGCAATTACAAAGGCAACCATAAAAAGAGTGTACAACTAATTACTCACACAACTTTGTCATTGTCTAATTTAAGTTATTTGTTTAAGGCTTTATATAGTTGCCATATCTAGAACCCACCTATAGGTCTTTTATTTAAATATTTTAGTTTCTATATTTACCATTTATCTATCTTACCAATGATCTTAATCAAAATCAGTAAAGATATATATATTATAAATTTATACTAAACTCATTAAAGTTTTTTGTATTTTATACTTACAGTTAATCTGACATTACTTTGGTCTAGACTAGCATTTGCAATTAGGATTAACTATTAAACCATTATACTTTTGTTAAGTTTACTTAAATTTTAGTATTCATTTTTTTGATATCTTCTTTATCATCTTTTACTAATTGTTACTTAAAACTGACAGTCTCTAATTAAATTACCAATTCAGATGGCTTAACATAATATACTTTTTATAGTCTTTTTTTTTAATAAATTTAATAACCTAATTAATATATATATTTCTTTTATATATTTGTTGTTTAGTTTAATTAATTTATTTTTTTGAAATAATTTGTGAGCTTCTATTGGTTTAGTAGTATTATTAAAAGTTAGTATTAGCTATTTACTTAAAATTTCTAAGTAAACTTTTGTCTCTTCAGTTTTTTAGTCTTTTATATCTAATAGTCTTATTATAAGTTTGCACTAAAATCTTATACAATACTGATTTTTAGTATTTTTTTATGTATATATAATATTATATTTTATATAAATGTCTTAAGCTTTTAATATAATATTAAATAAGATCTAATTTGGTGCATCTAGGTTATATCTGCATGAAACTAACTAATTAACAGAAAACAGTTTCTATAACACAAACATAGTTTTTTTTTTTTTTTTTTTTTTTTTTTTTTTTTAGTATTAAGGTGAGGCCTTGCTTATATCTTTATTAATAATTTAAAATAGTTACATGTATATATG